TTGTGAACTACAAATGACCTTGCTGAAAAACAACAGAGACCTTTTCTTGCTCTAGGCTGTCTTCTGATTGTATCTCTTCCTTCAGGTTACTGTAACTGCTCTTTTCCAGGGGTAGGGAAGAAAGAAAAAAAAAACCCAGAGAGACAGAATAGAAACACTTAGCTGAAGACCCAAAGGCCTCCCAGGCCTGCTTCTTCCTTAGTTCTACCATCACTCTATTAATAACGGACAACGTTTTCATTAAACGATGCACTTTCCCGCTCCAGGATAGACTTGAGTTTTCTGTACTGATCATTATACGACTCCCAAGAGGGCTCCCACAACCATGCTGTCTTCACAACAGAGACAGGAACTATCTGTTCCTACACACACCATACGCTAGACTGATCCCAAGAGTGAGAAAGACCTAATAACCCACAAGTGAAAGAGGTACAGAGCCTACTTATCAAATTCCAACCTGGAGGATAAAAGCATCCCCCATTCAAAGTTCTCACGTAAGGTCTTTGTGGATAAAAGATTTCTCCCAGTTGCCCCTGAATTGCAGGAAGTCATTTCTCTCGCATGGTAATTAGCCCTGTTTTGTTTTGTTATACATTTTTTTTTTTTAAACTGGAGAAACGGACCGCATTAAATCATTTTCAGCCACAGGCTAGTTATTGCTGCTGCTAGGAAAACGATTGCTGCACATCCCAGTTTAATACCCAGAGTCATTTTTAAATAGGGAAGACTTTGTATTGTATTTCTGCTGGTGATTTTTGGCTTCCCTTTCCTCCTGCCTCCCTGTACATCACAGATTCATATGGTTTTCTACTCTTTATTATAGCATCAAGAAACTTCCACTGTATTAGGGATGCACAGTAGGCCTGTGCGAAGAGGCTAGTATTCGCTTCGGATTCGGCTGATTTGGGGGGACAGTGATTCGATTCAGTGATTCGAATCACGGTTCCAAACTGATTCAGCTGAATCCGATTCAGAGATTCGGCTGCCACTGAATCGACTGAATCTCCAAATCGAACAGGCCCCATTCTCTGCCTGGTCTCCCAGCCCCATCAGTGGCTGCCCCACCTTGCCCCAGTCTCCCTCCTTGCTCTTAAAAAAAAAAAAGCCTGACACTCTCCAGCTGCTGCCAGGTGTGTGTGTGTGTGTGTGTTGGGGGGGGGGGGTGGGGGGGCGACCCGCACTGCCCTGCACTGCATGGGGGGGATCTGTCTTGAGCCCCCAGGAGCCCAACTACCACTGCAGCAGCTGATGAGTGTGGAGCCTTTTTTTCTTCTTCTTCTTTTTTTTTTTTTTAAAGAACCAGGAGTTGGGGCTAGGCAGGGAAGCCACGGTGGGGGAGGGGGAGGGCACTTGTGGCAGATTCCCCATGCAGCAAGGGGCAGTGTGGATCGGGCCAAATTGGGCCGAATCACCTCCAAATCAAAACACCACCCAAAGCTTTGCACAGCCCTAATGAACAGTTCCCAGCCTGAAGTGTTCACAGTCCAAAGGGATGAGAGTATCAAAGGACATAAGGGGAAACAGAGGCACACAGACTGTGGCCCAGCATCACACAGAGAAGCAGGTCCATGCCAAAGCAGGGAGTGGAAGGCAGGTCACCTCACTTATTGTTCAGGTACACAATCAGACCATGCACAGAAACACGGCCCCTCCCACACGCACAGAGCAGCACATTGCTTTTTCTTACTTTCCCTTTATTCTCATGCCCTGCCTTCAATTAAGGATGATAGGATGTTTATGAGTGTTCAAGGCCTATTTACATTTTATAATGCGTTTCACATGAGGGGCTGGTCCAGCCAGGTGCTGAATGTCCTTTTTAATTTTGATAGCTTTGTATTATTAGCATGATTTGCATTATAGTGAATCTATCCAGAGACTTCATTTACGATCAAGGCCCTGATGTACAAGTGATGGCTATGTCAGTCCCTGCAACTCCCAGATACAGGGCTGCTTGTCCCACCACTACTACCCTCTGGAACCGTCTCCTCCCACCTGCTGAAAAGCTCCACCTGGAATCTCAGTGTGGGTTTATATATCAAGAGGCACAACTGACATCATCTTCACAGCTTGCCAGCTGCAGGAAAAATGCTGAGAACAACATAAACCTGTCTATATGCCCTTCTTTGACCTCACAGAAGTCTTCGAATGTCAACTAAGAAGCACTGTGGAGGATCTTTTTGAGGTACAGATGTCTACCAAAATTCATCACCGTTCTTTGCCTGCTCCATGATGGTATATAAGTGGTAGTATTCAGTAATGGATCTATCACAGATCTTTGAAGTTAAGACTGGAGTTAAGCAAGGCTGCATCATCCCTCCAGTACCTTTCTCAATATTCCTTATTGCAATGCTACGTCTGATCACCAACAAGCTTCCAGTCAGAGTGGAGCTAAACTACCAAATGGATGGAAAGCAGTTTAATCTTACCCGACTCCAAGCCAAAACCAAGACTAGTCAACCTCAATCATTGAGCTCCAGTATGCTGCTGACGCTATAGTGTGTGCTTACTTGGAAGCAGCAATTGTCATCCTATTTACTGAGGCATACAAGAAAATGGGACTGACGCTTAATATTCAGAAGACTAAGGTCCTCCATCAACATGCTCTTAATGAGTAGTCCCCAGCTCCAGCAATTCAGATTTATGGTGAGACTCTGGAGAACCCTGAGTATTTCCAGACCTTGGAACCAGTCTCTCGTTGAAGGCTGACATTGAGAAAGAAATCCAACATTGCCCCAAATGTGCAAGTGCAGCCTTTAGATGTCTAAGGAAATGGGTTTTTGACAAGCGCAATGTCAGATTCAAAACCAAGCTCATGGTTTCTCAAGCAGTCATGACCCCTACCTTATTGTAAGTAGCTAAGCCATGGACAATGTAAGGAGACATCTCAAGTTGCTAGAGAAGTACCATCAATGCTGCCTGTTTATGATCCTTCAAATCCAGTGGGAAGACAGATGCAGCAACATTAGCATCCTGTTGCAAGCAAACACCACAAGCATTGAGGTGTTGATCATCCAACATCATCTTTACTGGGTTGGCCATGTCATCCCCAGAGAGACCAGACAGCAGGTTCAACTTCACACCCTGCAGTTCAGAAAAGCTTCTTGGGTTGACCTGGGCCTTTGCTGGGGATGGAGCTTAGAGTCTTTCAATGTAGATGCTTGGCCAGCATGGGCTTTAGGGCAACATTAACAATGACCCTAACTATTGTTGTCAATATGCCCTGGGAGTCTCATGCATGGACAAGGTTTGCACTGTGCAGGTACCAAGTCTGGAAAGCAGAGATGAACCATAATGTGCTGGATAGACTGGACTAGTCCAACAGCACAGTCCCAAGTGCTAAGTGACTTAGAAACACAAGCCATGTTAATACTTTGGAAAATTCTACTTGCAATTGCCCGCTTATGAATGGCATCTCTATAGCAACTGGCTATGATGCCACAAGCAGAGGATTATGAGGAAAGAAACAGCAGGAACAAGTGAATTAACAATGTTCATGTTATAAATATTAATAGAAAAACAGTGCAATAGAAACAATGGACAGAATTTTCACTTGCCGTTCCCAGCTGCTTCTGTCTAAATATTTGAGGGCCTTGACTTGTGACATCTTTAAGTGGCATAATTTCTCAAAGCCCTGAACCCTTGCCCTCAGGAAGTTAGGTTCCTTAGCAGCATCTCAAGCTGGGCACTCAAAATGAAGGCACCTATGTTGTATATTGTCTCATTGGAAAGCTTGGCCAGTGGAAATGCCTTCTGAGGAAACCAAGAAGCATTTTCCAAAAAGGATGTTTGTGAAAATTTTCTGTGTGTTTTTAATAGAAAGGAATAAATAAATAAATAAGTACACAAATAAAATTACTTGTGCGTTTAATGGTATACAGGACTCATTTCTATCTTGGCTAGGCCTCACAATTACATCAGCAATGAAGCACAGAGTCATCACCTTTCCCATTCAGAGCTGATACCATTTTCTCAGCATGACCTCTTGGCAGAATAAAATCAATACTATTTCTGTCACTAAACTCTCTGCTCTATTTTTTTTATCTCTTAAAGCTTTGCCATTCCTTTTATGAAAACAGAACAAAAAAACAAAACAAAAAACAAAAGAATTGAAACACCACTAACTGATCACTAAAAGATGTAAATGAAGGAGCCAATTTGAATATCTGACTTTACAGGAAACTTCCCTGCATTGAACTGATCACTCAGGGCTCTAGAAAAAGGCTATCAAAAACTTTACTGCTAGCCAACTGGTTAAAATTTCGTCAGGATATTATCATGGGATAGATGTCAAATGGCCTTGGAGAGGTTGGCTGCCAAGCCTCAGTTCAGTTTATAGTATGAAAAAGTTCTGAAACACAAACCCCGCCTGGGGAAAAAGGAACGTTTTTACATTTTGCAAGGAATCTGTACTTGAAAAATGATGACTCTATTGAGCCTGATTACGATGAGCCTGTTCCAGTTACCATTATTGCCCCATATCATGATAAATTAATAGGCAAGGTATTGATTGATGCCAATACACTCTGGCAGACATGTTCAATGAGGTTAGTGATTTTGACTGCTCCAGGTTTTCAGTGGCCATTCGAGACCTTGATTTTCAACATTTTTTTGAGGTTTCTGCTGTTTTCAGGTTTCTTTATTTAGACACCCAAAACTTAAGTCAGTTTTGAAAGTCCTGGCTTCAATATGTTTCCTTCCCAAATTATTATATTTAATACTGCACTATTACCCCAGTATTTCTTGGACATGGGTGTGCCCTACCTGCGGGCGAGACTGTCACTCGCGCATCGCACTCAGCAGCCGTCAAAGAACGCATCGGCGCCTACACCAGGCTCTGAAAAGGACAAACGGCGCCAATTGGATTCTTGGGCGCCTGACACATTCTTTCTGATTTTTTTTTCCCCTCTGTGTTTTTTTGGTGGAAAAAGGAACAAACACTTTTGGAAAAAAATCCCCTTTTTAGTTCATGTTGCTGGCCCAGAGCCAGTCCCAGGGTGCAGGTGCAGTAGAAGCCGAAGCGGAGGAGAACGGTCTGTCCGGTATATCCTCAGAAGTAAATAAACATTCCCTCCCCGACAGCCATCCTTGAAATGTCCAGTCTACAGAAAAAAATACTCTGATTTTTAAATGTCGGCAGGGCTTGGAAATCTATATGACATAAACTTTTGCCAAAAAATCAATCCCAAGTTACGATTTGATTAGCAGAAAATTGCTATCACATTTGTTTCTACATTTGTCTACCTCATGTCCTTTTCATTCATAGGCTGGCCGATTTAAGCTTTCTTTAAAAACTCCCCGAGAAAGTCTGTGACATTAAAATGTCCTTTGATGCTCTTTCACTAAGCAGTGAATATTAACAGTTATGGTGACCCTGTTCCCTAATGTGTCTCTGTTGGATCAATAGCAGTTAAGTGCCACTGTTTTACAATTAAAAAGGGGATCATTTTAAATTTAAAAGCTCATAGCTAATTTTCTTCTTGGCACTTAATAGCATAATTCATTTTTGAAAAACCACATAGGGAGAGCATATACTTTATTCTTTGCTGGATGCCTTGTAGGGGCTACTTTTAGCACTTATTGTTGCATTGTGGCTGATTTACAGCTCTGTCCAGTCAAGCCTTCCACGTGGCATGTTCCTAAATATAAGTTTGTCCCATATCTGAGAAGCGGAGGAATAAGCTGCTATTTTTCATTGACGAGATAATTTTTTTCTTCCATTTGAAGTTTGCACCAAATAATGGAAGATATTTTATTTGTGTTCCTTGTTAGACTCTGATAGGTAACACACCTGCCCTTCGCATCTGCACTTGCAGCAGTCTACATTCTACTTTAAGAAGCCGGGAGGCACATGAGGATTTCTAGATCTGAAACCTATGCACAGAATTGCTAATGCCTCATTGCTTAAAATTACATTCGAAGTTAACAACACTTAACCCTTCTGGTACTTGTCTTCCGCTGAACACCACTTAATCCTCATTTATCCTATTCTGCCAGGTTGGTTACTATTCTTACTCTAGTTTCACAGATGGAGACACTGAAGCAGAGGTGTTAAAAGCAAAACTTCATCCCCTACTCCATAGCTTCAGACGGTCATTCTGAAGTGAAATGAGAGCATTTCCAGGAGAAAAGTGTGCAAACATCTTATGCAACATCCTTAAGGGGCAGGAGGTAGCCAGACAGACTGGGAAGGAAGAACGTCAAAGAATTCCCGGGCTTTTACACAGCAATTCCATATGGCCCAATGGGAGGATTAATCTGATCCAGAGTTGTTTTCATGTACACTGGGGACTGGATTTAGCCTATAAATCATCCATCCCTACAGAGAGGGTATCACAGTGTCACAGTCCACACCAAAATTCAAAAGTTCCTGGCTCCTAATATAGCACTCAAACCATGAGAGAAGCATGCGTCATAAAGTAGGATAAGTCTAAACTGCTTCAATAACCCTGCAGGAAATATAGGTCTGTTAAAGCAGAACAATGAGCTAGCAAATGCTTCTTTCTGAAATTAGATATCTACCTAGAATATAGAGGCATTACTTGACGCGGGTTCTATGTTGTAGAGATATTCTATTATCTCTATACAGTATATACACATTACATGGAGGCACGAAGTGCACCTATTTACATTGGGAACACTGTAATAAAAGGACAGCCTCCTGCTCAGTTAATTTTTAGCACGTTTGGGTGAATAATACCTAGAAGCTCTCTTGGAAAATTCTTTAAGAAATGATGGTCGTGTTGGAGTGATGGTTGTAGCCATGAGGGGCCAGGAATTCGGCAAGAGGCAAGGCTTTCTTTTGGTGATATCTTTTATCGGCCCAGATGTATGGTTGGGATAAAGCTAGATAGGACTCTGAATGCAAGGCATTCTTCATCAGGTCGGAACAGGTTTGAGCACCCTTAAGAAATAACACTTAGCAATTCATAGACCCTGGAATTTTAAAAGGTTCAAGCTCCAGTGAACCCAGTTGTCCCCCCGTGACCCACTGCCACAGTTTACTTTGTAGTTTTCTACCCACAGTCGTGTTGGCTCCTACAGGGCCAAAGCAAGCAAATTGGGATTAGCAGCCATATTGGAAAATGCCATGGGGCCTACCTTTGAAAACATGATTCAGACTTGCCACGCAATAGCAAAGAGTTTTCTTAGGATATCTCTGGGTATCCAGAAGGAGCAAAATGTGACTCCAACCCTAACAAGTGAAACAATATTCAAGTAAATCTCTTCTGGCTCTCAAATTCAGGAAAAAAAAACTTGACTTTGAGTTTGTTTGCCCTCAGTTTGAGGTATTCTGTATGTGTTTTATTAGGACTTCATTCATATTCATCATTTTTCTGTAAAAAAAGACACACCGGTTCCCTTCTCGCTCCTCAACAATCCCTTTGTGGCATACCTAGATTGCACAAAATGTGAAAAGGGA